AAAAAAAAATTTAATATTTTCAATTTATCAAATTTTCTGTCAATAATTTTTTCTTTAATTTTTTCTTAGATTTTTTTTTTTGTATTCGAATGAAATACAAATAATATGAACGTCAATTTAATGCCAAAATTAACGGGTTTGATTGCGTGGGATGAAAATTTTTGTAATCTTATGCTGAATATTTAAAACAAAAATCGATAATTTATTATCAGATAAAATATTATAATGTCAATGTGTGATGAAAATCTATGATTGTAAAATATTGTTATTGGATTTGGAGGCAATTTAAAGAGCTAATTTACATGGTAATTTACAAGAATTAAATTTATTTTGATGACATGCGTATAGCTCTTTTTTATTCCATCTGCATTGTATATGATAAGGGATTATTGCATATGACAATGGTTAGCTGGGATCGCCCCAATTTCTCTGTGAATATTTACTTTGAAAACGAAATTTTTATTTTTAATCATATTTGAGGCGCTCAGTACATTAGTGGCCTATACAATGTTTTTGCAAAAATGAGTTACTATGTTCAATAGAGTTGTAATGGACAAAATAATTGTTCTATATTTTCAAAATACTTAGTTTACTCCTTTTTCCACTCTATTTTCATATAAGTTCGTTTTTTTCATTTGAAAATTTTCTTAAAAATTGAATTTTTAAATATTTCAACCGCAATTTTCACAAAATGCCATTTTTGCAAGTAGGCCACTAATCTGGTGAGCGCTTCATTTTTAAACAAATTTACTTATTTAACATAATATTTTGAAGTGTCTGTAGCGAATGTATACGAGTAATGTTCAGATGTTTTTTAAAATTTTGACAACATTTAAAATTAATGGTGCGGTAACAATTGATATAGGAGCGTGATAATTGCATAAACTTGAAAATAAACATATAATTAGTATAGCACTCTATATAAATTTTATTTTGAATATTGGAAATCAAATTCAAATAACATTAATGCTTAACTAATTATAAAATATTTCTATTCATTTTAAGTTCTTCCTCAATATCAATTGCTTAGCTGTCTACTGATAAAATTAAAAACTTGCAATTAAAATCATGGAATTACCAATAATTGGTATTCAATATGTATATACGATTAAGCATTTTGTACTGTTGCTACCGTTAAGTACTGTTGCCTAATGCAATTCATTGAAAAGGTGTAAGTAAGTTTTGCAATCGCTTTCAGAAACAGTATAATTCAAAATATTATGATAATAACTTCTGTATAAATTTTAATAATACATAGAAATCACTGTTATAAGAAATAACATTTATGTATGTATGTATATTCGCCATCTTGAATCACTTACTTTGAAAACATCTTTGTCTTCATACAAAGAGCACCTTCAGAATGCATAATAATTATTAAAAAAAAATCTGATGTGGTCAGCACATAACCGACCGCATTGTATATTGTCTAGTTAAGTGAAAGGGTTACAGAATATTATAAAAATGTGTTCTTAATACTTCTTTCCAATTTTTAGGACATTAGTAGGCTTATAATTAACATACCTAGAAAAATGTAAATTTGGCTTTTAGTAGAGTTTCGCTTTGTGCTACCCGAATTCCCAGAAATGCTCGCCAGTTAGCCAAAACTCAAATATTAAATTTCAAGAAATTCCATCAATTCGTTCCGTAGATATGGTGAAAAATGTAAAATCGGCCCGCATATCAGTTTTCGAACCCTGATCTTTCCAAAAAATTTATATGTTCATTGCTTTAATATGAGGAATTCATATATTAAATTTCAATGAAATGGGTTGATTATTTCTCTTTATATACACAAAAGTGTATGTTTGGCCCGTAGTAAACGTCTAGTTGCCGATGCCTGATCTTTCAAAAAAATTAACATGTCCATTGTTTTAATACGAGGAATTCAAATATTAAATTTCAATGAAATCGGTTGATTATTTCTCTTTATATACACAAAAATGTATATTTGGCCCGTAGTAAACGTCCAGTTGCTGACGCCTGATTTGTTCCAAAAACTAGGAATTTTCACGGACGGTTGAGCAAAGCTCATATATGAAATTTCAAGTAAATCGGTTGAATATTTTCTTCAAAATGATGAAAAATGTAAAATCGGCCCGCAAATCAACTTTCGAGCCCTGATCTTTCCAAAAATTTATATGTTCATTGTTTTAATACGAGGAATTCAAGTGTTAAATTTCAATGAAATCGGTCAATTAATTCCCTTTATATACGCAAAAATGTATATTTGGCCCGTAGTAAACGTCCAGTTGTTGATGCCTGATTTCTTCCAAAAGTAAGGAATTTTTGCGGCCGGTCGAGAAAAGCTTATATATGAAATTTCAAGTAAATCGGTTGAATACTTTCTTCAAAATGTTCAAAAATGTAAAACAGGCCCGCTAAAAAGTGCAGTTCCCGAGGCCTGATATATACCAAAAATTGATCAATCCGTGCCATGGTGGAAATAAACTTACATATAAAATTTCATCAAAATCGGTTCAGCAGAACTTGAGATACACGCGTGCACACACAGACCGACAGACCAACAGACCGACAGACCGCCAGACCGACAGATCGACAGACCGACAGACCGACAGACCGACGGACCGACAGGTTGCTAAAAATAGTTTACTTACACTTCCCTACTATGGAGAAGTGCATTCCCACCGAAAACTCGATATGCAAAATTTGTTGCCATCACATAACCTACCTATTGTTTACCCAATACGGTCGGTAATGAACAAGTATTTTATATTTTACATTAATTATTATTTAAATTATTATTTTGATTGCCACTGGCGCGACAGTGTTTCTTATTAAAATAATTTTGTTAGAATTTAAATTATTAAATTTATTAGCTGATTATTTTGCGAATTGAAATTCGAGTCTTTTCTATAAAAGTTTTAAATAGCTTTTCTATTTAATTCAAAAAGATTTTAATTTAAAAAATTAATTTTTATTATTTCGAAAAAGAGCATTAAAATGTTTTGTATAAATTTTTCGTTTTCATATTTTATTCAACAAACAACTTTAATCGTTAAACATTTTCCTATTTTCCTATTGAAAAATTTCATGTGTACAAGTAAAATGCTGAAGAAAGGAAGAAAAATTATTTAACATGTTAATAATTTTTTTATTCATTGTGTAATAAAGAAGGCACAATTACATAATAATATAATTTCTTTATTGTTATACTTTTACTACATAGGTGGATTTTTACAGTTTGTAATTAGTGTCATAAATGTTACTACATTCATGTATAACCGTGCGGGTTAATCATGATAGTATTTTGTAATTATTTTTATGTAGCATAAGAGAATTTTATATGTTAATCGTTTTTTTGTATTTTTAGAATCAGTGAAAAATTAATCTTGTCTAATTTTTTTTAGTATATACATACATAAATAATTTCAATTATAAAATTATATGGAGGAAATAAAATTCAAATAATATTATGCAATACTCTCTTGGAATAGTCGGATGGTTAAAGCAATTTAATTTTTTTATTGACATTGAAATCATAAGATGAAAAGAATATATAATAAACTGGAGGATAAACTCACCATTTGAATTAGTTTTTATATTTTCTCTGATTGCAGAGATCGTTAAAGACAAGGCAAAGGAATAATTCCTCTTTTCATCAATCATATAATTTGTATATTATTTGTATATTTTATTTGTACTCGTATATCGACTTTAATGAAATGCACTTCTGGAAATTATATTGCCTCAAAGGTGCATGCCAAATATATATGAAATCTAGAATATATAAGTTTATATAGCAATTAATGTAAGTTCTATATTATTATAAAAATTTATGTAGGTATTTCTGTCAGAGTGTCATTCATGGACTACTAACTACTATACACTATTAATTCGATTACAAAATATTCGACATTAATTTGATTGTTTAGAAACAATCCTTCGAAAACTTTTGAGCTCTGTTATATTAAAATAGTTTAAAGTCGACAAATACGATAACACGGAGTTTTCTTGAAAATGACTCGGCAAGATGTTCAACTTTTGTTCTTTAAAATTTTTGTTTGAATCAGCCATCTGATGCCACAGGTCCGGTAAAAAATTAAAATTTTAGTAGATTAAAAAAGAAATTAATCAGGAAGCCACATCGTGATTTCTGATGAGATCTTAAGGTCCCCGGAATTCTTAAACATTTCTGACGCGCAATTGGTTAGCTGGTGGCTTATATAAACTTATATTAAAAACTTATGTATAGAACCGTAACTTCCAAATTTTAGTAACATTGCATTGCTAGATAACATTATTCTCATTTCGAAATTAAGATAACTAAATTAAGAATATATAATTTTAAAATACTTACTAATATATTTTTTCTCAGTGTTTCAAAAATATTATAAAAACAAACAAACAAACTAAATAAATTAAAAATGAGAAAATAAAGATACAAAAGATAGCATAGTAAATAATTGAAACTTTTCGAATCAATCAAAATATTGTAAAAAAAGGCGGTATACCGCAAAAAAATATCGAAAAAAAACTTTAAAACGAGAGAAAAATTAAAAAAAAAAACACTAAACAAGAGTGTTAAAGCTTTTTATTGCAAAATCTCTCAGTTATTTAATCAAATAAAAAAAAAATATCATGTGATATTTTTTTGTTCAACATGCAAAATACGAACCCACCACTTTGAATATTTTACTCACTTTTAATGTTTTAACTTTTTTCTCACCATATTGCAAAATAATGAAGTAACAAAATAATATAGAAAAAGAAAGGAAAATAGCGAACAAACAATAATTTTAAGTTCACCATAGTAGTGATGATTTTCTTTCTTCATTATACATTTGAAAATACATAGTTGCTACGACTGTTACGACTATTATACAAGTATTGTGAAGGTAAACAGAAATAAAGTAAACTTTTAAACGAAAACACCAGTATGACGTTATGCATGTGCGATCTTTTTTTTTTTCATTTTATTTTGAATATTTTTCTAGAGTGGTTGGTGCACAATTTTTAAATAATTTTTTTATAGAAAATTTAGTATTGAGAGTGCGGTTAATGGGATAACAAGTGTGTACGGGTTTCATTAAAAAAAAATTTTTTTTTTAATTTTTTCGTTTTTCTTTTCTTATGTAATTTCTATATGTAATTAAAGTGAATAATATTGAAAACCAATTAAAATTTGTAAATTTTTAATATTATTAAAGTTTTAATTGTATTAATTAATTTAAATTTATTTAATGTATATAGAATTGTAAAGATATTCGGCATTGAATAAAAAATTCGAAAACGAAAATAAATTGTGTTACAACTTATTAGCTGAAAAAATTAATAAAAAATAAGAATTTGAGGAGAGGAAAAAATAAAAAAAAAATTTTAAAAATTATTTTTTTTTGCAACAGTTTCTCATATATTTTTAATTAAAATTCAAATAATTTTATAATTATTGTAAAATATTTCAATATGAAGTTAAAAATAGCAAGTATATATTTTTTAATTGGAATCTCATTTGGATTTACGGAATCGAAAGGTAAGTGTTTCTCAATATGGTCTCTTTCTTGAATTTCTTGAATTTGTTTTAATTTAAATTTAAAATAAATTAATAAAAATCTGTGTTTTACACTATTGTGGTGGAATATAATTAAAAAAAATATTAATTTAAAAGGTTAAAAGTAAAAGGAATGGCAATTTTTTTGCTTGTTGCATTTTGTAAAACTGTCAAATCAACAATGTTGCAAATTAAAAAAAAAAGAGACAAAAAATAAAATTGAAAGTAAAAATTTTTTTTTTAAAATGTCAAAGTTTATACTCTACTTTTTTTTTTATCTCGCATGCTATAAAAATTTATGTCATCTCGCTTGTTGAATTTCTTACTCGATACAATGTGCTTTTATTCAACTTATCTATATAGATACCGACAATTTTTTTTTATAATCTACTTACCTGATCCTTGTCAGTCAAATTTGACCTTTTTTTTTTGTTTTACTTTTGTTATATTTCATAAATTTTATACGGTTTTTTTTTCTTGTTTCTTTTTATATAAATTGATTAAGTAGTGGTGATTATGATGTCATCGTATATGCTCTTTTATTTATTTTATTTTTATTTATTTATTATAAACTCAATAAATTGTATACGTTTGTGTGTATTGTACTTTTATTCTTATATGAATTGCTCGCAATAATATTTTTATTGTGGAAAACCAGGTTTCTTAATCGTTTGGCCATAGTTGTTTTTAATTTTTTTTTTTTGTTTTGGTTTTTGTTATTGATTTCGTCCATATTTATTATTTAATTTTGTTTATAATTTTTGCTGTTTTGACCATATAGCATATAATATGTATATGTATATTTCTTTATGGCTACTTGTTATTACCATTGTCAAAGTAAGAAGTTGAAAAGAAGAAAGGAAAAAAAAACTTATAGGTACAACGATAAAAAATGAAGTAATAAAAAGATGTATTGAAAAAAATAAAAAGAAGATATAACTATTTAAATAAATTTTTTTTTTGAATTTGCGTGATTACACTGAAAAAAATTTATTTTGATATTCTACTGAATAAAATGCAAATTATTATGGGTTCTGAAATGCAGAGAAATTTTAAAGAAATACAATAAAATTGCCACAGTCAAGAATTGCAAGTGACTAACGTTCTGTTACAAATTGAGCTGTTTTTACGGGATACGTAGGTTTTATTGTATGGAAGACGAAAATTTTCTAACATTTCCGATCTACAAGATTATTCTTATTCTATTCTTATTTTCCTGTGTGAGTTAGTAAATCAAATAATGAGTTTGTTTTTAAATTTCAAAATATTGTGTTGTGTTCGGCCAAAATGAGTTTTTACTATGTGGAAATCGAAAGAATGTTCAAAAATCTCAAAGGCGGAAACCTTAAAAATTTATTGGAAATTTAAAAATACGGCTTTGGTACAATTTTCTGTATACGTATTTAAAAATATATTGAGTTTTCAAAGACACAAACCATATAAAAGTTGAAAATATTCCTTCCCTGGAAATTTTACTTACTGGGTAGAAAGATTTTTTAAAAATCAAAATTGGAGGTAGAAAATTAAAAGTTCTTGGTTCCATTTTTTCTCTTATCAAAAAAAAGAGAGAAATTAATAATATTTTTAGTTGAATGTTTGTACCACTTGTACAAAATTTTTGCGATATTTTGTATTTAAAAATTTATGAATAATTTATAAATAAAAAACACATGTTTGTATGCTTTAGATTTTGTGTCAATTACAAAAGACTTAAAAGAGAAACTTTTTATTTCGATAATTTTGAAAAAATACAAAAAATAAATAAAATTATTAAAAATTAGCATAAAATTTGCATTTTTTATATTTTGTTTATTTTTTTTTTCTTTCTGCTTTTGCTAAAAAGTAAAATTAATTTTTTTAGTTATTTGTTAATAACGATGAATGAAATTGAATATTATGGGAATTTTAATATTTTGTACCTAAATTCGAATGAAAAAAATTTTATTTCACCTATTAATAAATATTTATAAAGAACCTATAATAATTTTTTACAACATGATCGTTTTTTAATTATTTTAATAATTTGTTTTATGATCTATTAAAAACAGCAAAAAAATGAGAATATAATATAAGAGATGACTAATAAAATCGCAAGATATTTAAGATGACTAGAGGCAGCTGAAATTTTTATAACACTCATAAAAGAAAAAAGTTCAAAATTTTCTAAAATTAAAATATTAACAGTGTTTTGCTACAAGATATTTACGTAATATACGATATTTCAAGGTTACCAAATGAAAAATGAGCTTCAACAAAATTATTCTATTTAATTTGATAAAGAAAACTATATTATAATTTCATTAAGTTTAACAGAAAATTGTTGAACTCAAATTGCAAATTCAACAACTGAATATTTGGCAGTAAAGAAAATGTTCTTTTTCTTTTATTTTTTTAGCGATTCTTTTAAGTAGAGTTCAATGAATTATTTTTCAGGTTGTTAAATTTTTCAAGGTTAGTCTTTTGCTTAGGTGTTTTTTTTATCAGTCCGTTACTGTTTTTTTTTCCTTATTTTCTTTATTTCATATCTGACGCCTATTATTGTTATACAATTGCAATAATAATTATTAAGACAATGAATAAGGCAACGGCATATGTTTTCTTTACAATTTTCAAATATTATTATTGAAATAATTAATAATGTTATAATTTTCACTCCTTGTATTTTTATCTCAAATACATTTCAAAATTCAACTATAATTAAAATAATTTTCATGCTTAATTAAAATGAGTTTCAAAGTATTAAATGAAATTCTTAAAATTTCATTTTCGTTTCTCAATATTAAATTATTTATGCAGTTGTTATACAATACAAAAAAAAAATTATAAAGCCAAATTAAATAAATAAAATCTTTTGTTTTGTGATTCAAACAAAAAACGTAACTGAATTTGTTTTACAAGTCTGGGATTGAGAAAAAACTATTGAATTTGAAGATTATAGTTATAATTTCAAAATGTGAAAAATCTCTAAAATTACGATATAAAGACTGTTATTTTTAAAAGTGTTTGATTGTATGTAAATGTACAATCATCGCCAAGAGTTATTGCAAGCCGCCATATACCGCCATTGTCTTTATTAAATAAGCACAATTCATTCTTTATTCATATTTTTTGTTTTATGTAAAAATTTAATGATACAAAAGTAATATACATACATATGTATGAAATGAATATTAAAATATTTTTTAAAGTACATGTGTGAAATAAAATTAAATACTCGTATATTATATAATGTACGTACGAGCATGTACATTTGCTTTATACATTTATACAAGTCTAGATGAAAATGACCTCGCGCCAAAGTTTCACGCCTTCGCATTGTTTAATTTTATTACACTTTTTCTTGTTAAATAAATTCTCTCCAACTAGTTTTGTTTTTTTTTATATGAATTTAGATTTAGTTTTTTTATTTTTTTTTTGTATGATTTTTTTGCAGTTTATTATTTTTATATTTTTTGATTTTAAAAAATTACTCAGCAAATAAAAAATTAGTTTATACACTGAATACGTTAATAACAGGGTGTCCTACAATATACTTACAGTATATAATACTCTGTATTAAACGAATAAAATAATTAATTGATTGAGTTAGAAAAGTTGAACCAAATATATTTTGACTTCAAAACTGTGGTAATACGATTATAATACACAATACAGCTTATGGTGATACGATATCACTGAAATTTCACGAAATCACTCTTTAAATTCTTATTGAACTGAAGTCACTGGTTCCCTATTTGAAATTTTAAACAATTTATAAAAATTGATTAATTCAAAATGCAACGGGAAATTATAAAGCTGGGCAAACAAAAATAACAACATTTATACAGACAACTCTACAGATTATAAAAATTTTAATGAGAATTATTGAACAGCGGACACATACATAGATTAATGTGCGCGTATGGAGTTGCTTAACTTACCTTATTGTGCCAATCACTCAAAAACTTTAGTAATAACCTTTTTACCGCTTTTCTAAAATTTAAAATTATTTTACTATTTTTGACAACAATTTTACAAATTTTTATGTCTCGCACACCTTGTACAGAAATAATAATTTTTTTATAATTTTATTATTTATTTTTTAACTTCTTTATTTGTAACAAAACTATAAGAAAAATTGATAAACTGCGAAATAATCCAGATTATGCTAATTTTCTTTTTTTTTTCTTTTATAAATTCAAATTGAAATAAGAATAATAAAAATAATAGTGACAAAATAGTAAAAGAAAAAATTTTAACTCTTCATTAGGAGCGACCATGCTCCATATAATTTTTTGAATATTTGAATTTGAATAATTGGTAAATTTAACTTTCCAAATTCATTATTGAGACAAATAAGAAAAATTATCTAATATTAATAAGTATAATTTTTTATATTTGTATGTACTTGTTTAAGATATTGGGGGTAAGAATAGTATTTTAGATTTTTAATGAAAACTCCGAAAATTTATTAGAAATTACTTAATTTTTTTAGCAAATTTTCGAAACATAAGTCGAAAATTTGTGCTTATTAGTTTGATCCTGTTGCGTTTATACAAAAAATTTTGTACACTTTAAGTTAGAAAGCCGTAATTTAATACCCAAATTATTGGTAAAAAGCCAATTGCCTTGAAAATTTTTACCTCCCTCTCCTATATCAAGAAAATAACGGTAAATTTCTTGTTTATTTAAAAATTTAACAGTTAGTCAAAAATCTGAAATCAACCATTATTTATAAATACTTCTTTTAGTTTAGGCTTTCATCCTGAAAGTATGCAATAAGAGAACATGTTAATTGTGAAAAAGAATTCTTTACCGGAATTTTTTATAGAAAATTTGCATAGTATTTTTAGCATTTTGTTATAAGTGTGTTTAAATATTTTAAAATCTTAATATAAACTTTTATACAGTTTTTGATTTTAAATTATTTATAAGTTAATTAACGAATTACTCAGCTTATTTTAATGAAACAAATGTAAGAAAAACAAGAATTATTTTAAAAA